TAAAATACATGAATACAACTAGGACATACCTGATTATTCATTCCTCTGTTTAATAATAATTAAGACTTTAAAAATTTGAGGGAATAACTTGTTAAATCTTTCTTCAGAAATTAAAGTACGCAAATATTAAATTATTTTCAGTTACCAGGATCTGTCGGTTCCATAAAGCTAATTATTAACAAGCCAGCATTAAAGGTTATGGAAAGTTGGTAGACTGATAAGAACAGTCTCACCAATTAAGATTAATTGGATTCATGAGGTTCTGAGTTAACGAGCTTCCTTTTATCTCTTCTTCTAATATCATCCTGTCACCATCCTTTTATGTAGACTTGTTGGTCCCTCAGCCTAAGATGCGCTCTGTGAAATTAGACAGTGTGTCGTCTATTTCATTGGCTTTGTAGCCAATGAAATAAGGTTTCAAACAAGGATAGAGATCGCTGAGCTGCATAAAGGAGAGCCATCTTACCAGCCTGTGTAAGAGTGAACCACACAGCTGAGACTGGATCTGTGCGCACAGTGCGAAGCTGATTACTAACAACGCTCCAATGATTTTAAAGTTTGGACGATGATTATGTTTTATTACAATGCCTAAGGCCAAAAAATAAAAAGTAAAATAAAAATACAGCTCAGAAAAGTTACTTATTAGGCTTATTTTAGCTTGAAAAGCAGCAGTTTCACTATTTCTTTATAGATTGTCATGTTATTTCAGGTTTATAAATGTTACATTTTGTTATATACACCGATTCCGGAAAAAAGTGGAAAAATACTTGCTTCACAAATGTTTTGTGGCCATCAAAATGCTTCAGTGTTATTCTATGGGTCAGATAGTTGAGTAAAAGCATTTGCAGATGCTGGTGACGCCAAAAGCTCAAAGCCCTGCAGCTCTTGAACTGTTGTAGCTAGAGGTCTGGAATTTTCTGACCTGTCTCCGCCAGATGGATTTGCTCCGCATATCCAATTTTGGGAAGGGGCGAAAATACTGGTTAGCTGATTGGCCTATGTTGGTGATAGACGGGCCAAATGAACCAATCAGATCAACGAAGCATATGACGTACTAACAGAGCGACGACGAAAACACAACCACAAGCCAGGCTACTCTTGCCGAAACCAGTCGGGAGAAGAGCAAAAACATCTTTTCCTCTGAGAAAAGCCTCCAGAGCAGTGTTTTGCTCTTCTTTCAGTGAAGAAATACTCTGTAATTCCGATAAAACTTGCTCGATAGCCACGCTAACGCTAGTTTCGTCGGCTGAAGCCGCCATGTTCTTTAGACTGAACTGTCGCGCTTCTCGTTGCGTCACACCTCAACCCGCCTCAAAGCCAACGCTGATTGGACGTTCGTTTGCTGAACGGCTCCAACTTTTCTTTAACGGAGAGTCTCCAGACTGATCTGCGAGTGAAACCTTGAAAGCTCGCGAGATCAGGATGGTCTCACCAGGCTAGGAATTTTCTGCATTTATGGTTGACATGATGTAGAACACATGTAATACAATGAGACCTGCCTATTCTCAAGCATGTCTTTATTACTGCTGTTTAAAAAAGACCTATTATTTTCAAGGATAAAAAAAACAACTTTGAGTGATGTTTGATTGAACTGATGCTTAGGCTGTGTTTTACTCACACTATTTTCATTGATATTTTTAGAAACTAGAAGGTTTTAGCTTTCAAATTATGCATCACACATGTAATATTGACTTACAGTTCCTCAGGTATTTGCTTTTCCATTTGGGTATGCAAAATAGGTGGGGATTACTAGCCTAGTAAACTAGCCCCACCCACCAGCGGCCAAAATCATTTTTGCCTGCGAGTTGGTCCAGCCTAGATGAATGCCCCAGGCCCTAAATCTGGCAGGCCAATCACAACAATGTGTTTTGAATTTTTGGATGCAAAGCGGGCGGGGTTTTGAGGGCGTGACGACAAAGCTACACGACGCTGGAGAAAGAACAACAAGGAAGATGACATCTATTGAACAGTAGCATGCACTGCGGCAGCAGCAGCTTTCAATGGAGCGCTCCATTGAAATTTAAAAGTTCTCTTTTCTGTTGCTGTTGTTCAATAACAGCATGTTTTAAGAGCATTTGAGGCGAGAATATTATATCTTAAAGCATAACTATTAGTCCATTTACAGATTTAATGCGTAATAAAAAAAAATATTTGCGAAGTTGAGAGGACTGCGGCAACCAGCGGAGCTCCGAGGCTAACGGCAGCCAGGGCTAACCGCAGCCCGTCTGCAGCGGCCCTCTCTCGGCTTAGCCGTGTGTGAAGGACAGCTGGCTCTGATGCCGATTTTTGACTCCGCTTTGGAATCAGTTCTGGAAGGATTAGACTTTGGGTTTTCATTGAAACGTGAGCAGGAAGAGGCTCTACGCTCATTTATTTTTAGGAAGGACGACGTATTCGCCGTTTTACCGACAGGCTGTTTGTTTCCACTCCCCCACCAGCTTCCTGTCCAGGGCCGGTTCTAGCCCTTTGGTTGCCCTAGGCGAGATTGAGTTTTGCACGCCCCCAAACGCCCCCCCCACCCCCCCCCCCCCCCCCCCCAGTACTGTTTTCAGCATCTGTTTAGTGCCTCATTGAGTTGTGTTTACAGTTCCATAAAGAGTGCTGTGCGGGGAATTGTACCTACAGTTGTGCAAAGTGTGTGTTACAAAATTGCAAATTGAGTGCAAAGCAGTGTTTGTTCTTTTAGTTTTGTGAACTCAGTGAGTGGATTTGCTATAAGTATTAATAGTTTTAGAAATTGTGCTATAAGAATCAAGGTTGTGTTTAAGCATTCAGAAAAAACTGTAACTTAGCATGGAGTGATGCATAGACAAATACCAGAATAGGTTTCAGTACCTTTTCTTTTTTATTATTTTAAATAATTTATTACACACTCAAAGTTAGGACTTTGCAAAAACACTTTTAACCATCTGTAAGGACACTTAGGTAAAGTATAACTAAAAAACTGGATTGAATCATTGAATGAATTTATTTCAGACAATTAACAAATTTAACACACATTAAACAAATATTAAATAAATCAATTTCAGAAATTACCAAATAACAATAAAAAATAATAAATTTAAGAAATTCTTCAACCAAGGACTACATAAAAAAGTAATTGATAAACATTAAATTAAATTTTCTGTTCCAGTTCAATTAAATCATTTGAACATAAATAGAAACGAGATAAACAAAATGTTCCTCTAAATAAAATATATCAGGTATATTTACCCTGATTTCTGACATTGATTAGTGATTAAAGAAAGGATTAACCCTCTACAAACAAAAGTGCTTTTATGAATACCATTACAAAATTAAAAGTTTGAAGTTGTTGTTTTTTTTGTTGTTCACATATTCTATGATGAACAGCCATAACTTCATATATTTTGATGATTATTTGTACATCCCTTTTGAATACTCAATGCAGATAATCACTACAAAATATTTTATTTATATTAGTATCTTCTACCCCTTTCTCAAGCTAATAATATAGCACATAATTCTGCTGCATATATACTGAGAAAAAAATGATGTCAACATTAGGGATGGGGATCGTTAATATTTATTGATATCGATACCTTTATCGATACTCCTTATCGATCCGAGTCTTTATCGATACCACTATCGATACTTTTCTGTTATTTGGTGGAAAGACGATGCAACAAAGTTTTATTAACAGAACTGGTATTGCTTCTATTGCTTAACAAGTGAGCGTAACAAAAACTTTTCTAGCCTTCAATAAACATGGCTAATGTAATAGGCCACTTCGAAATGACATAAAACTAACTAGAATATATTTTCACAATTGTTGGTTAATGTATTGTCTACTGTCACTTTTCATCATGTTTTTAGTGATTAGGAAAATATTTAACGAATAAATAAATTTTTTTTAAATTAAATGTAATTTTTAATAAATGTTGGCATCAGTAGTTTAATTATATAGAGAGCAATATACAACTGTATTACTCATGTTTCTCGCCAAAAACAAAATTTCCCGTTTTCTTTACGTTACACTTGAACGCATTATGATAACCTAATTGTCGTTTTACTGAGCCAATCTGAACACATCATCACGCAGCACGTCTGAAACTTTATTCACTTTTCAAGCTAACTAGCTTGTATGCTTCCGATTACAAGACGGATTTCACAATTAATATTTTTAACTGACCGGACAAGCTACAAAGTCTGTGTGCGCTGACCAGTGATACTCTGAGTGGATGATTAAGACGGGCCCGACCGCGGCGGCAGGAGGAGGGGGAGTCTTTTCCGTTCAGCCATTCTCGAGTCGCGAGCAAAGTTAACTGCCAGACTTCACTTGTTTTACTTTTAATATCTGTTTGCTTACAATTTCATTCCAAAATATTGGTGTACATGCTGCAGTGATTGACGTCACGACTTCCGGGTTGGAGGGCGCTTGAAAAGTGATCAGAATCTTTTCCGATTTTCTCTTAAATGTGAAAAAATAAATAAAAAAAACGGTGGTATATTTATTTGTTCATATTTTGCTATTTATATATACGTAAGGCTAAGTCAAACTGACGGACGCTTCATAACCGGTTTAATTTGCTTTTTTTTCTACTTCTATGATTAATGGGAAGTAAACCTAAGGGCGACGCTAGAGGGCGCCCCCAACACATTTGTCGCCCTAGGCAATTGCCTAGCTCGCCTATAGCAATCGCCGGCCCTGCGCGCTTCCTACGTAATCGTCGGTTGCTCATTGGACAGAGCGTTGGCCAATAGGCACAGACATGGTTGAAAAAAAACGGGTTGTTCTCATCATCGGGGCCAGACTAGATTACACATTTAGTCTGGTTTATCAGGCTAGAGGGTTACTCCAAGTAGGTGGGAGTTAAGAGTTTAACTGGGAATCCAATGTTAGGTGTAAAACCAGATGAGTCATGATTTCGGTCCCAGTTAGATAGATAGATAGCATTTATTGTCACTGAACAGAATTCAACGAAATTCAGTTCAGAATTCAGTTGTTCCGTTCTAATGGATCTTCTCTCTCCTTTACAGACAGTAACTTTGTTCTGGGGAATGCCCAGGTGCAGTCACTCTATCCCATCGTCTACTGCTCCGATGGCTTCTGTGAGCTCACTGGTTACGCCCGCGCCGAACTCATGCAGAAGAGCTGCGCGTGCCATTTCCTGTACGGCCCCGAGACGAGCGACCGGTCTACGGCCCAGATTCAAGGAGCTCTGGACGACAGGAGGGAGTTCAAGACTGAGCTGGTGTTCTACAAGAAGGAAGGTGAGAAAAGACCTTGCAGAAATGTTATGTCACCTCGCAAGAAATGTTCACATCAATTCAAATCTTTTCTTTTGTCATATTACATGTATTTTATTTGGATTTTATCGTATATGATACAAAAAATAAAGTAGTTCACAGCCCGTCATACAATAGAAGCCATTGCAATTTCCCCATATTCCTTGGCTGGTCCCTTACAATTCATTTTTAAACATCTAAAATATTCTTTCTGTCACAATTTGTGGAAATTAAGATCTAAAGAGAAGCGCCATCTCCTGGTCAGACCCTGTAATTCAGTGAAAGAGTGGAGTCAGAGTAATAGAATATGCACACCCCATGAGAAGTCCCGTGGCTGGCAGTTGGAGGGGATTTTGCTGCTTCTGTAGGAAGAACAAGGCATGCATTTGTGTTTATTCAAATTCATAGAGCAGCAGACAGATCAGGTCACAAAATATCATCCCAAACTCTAAATGCATATCCATATGGTGGATATGCATTGAAATACATGCAGAGAAAAAAATGCTGAAAGTAGCAACAAGAACTGCAAGTTAAGAAACGATGCAAACGATCACAGCTTGAGGTAAGTTCTCCAGACCACCAGGGGGAAACTAGCATAAACTGGATGCTACGAAAGATTAGCATAAAAAATAACAGTGAGAAGATTAAAAAAACATCCCCATCCCATATATTTCTGGAGTCTCTGAAAAACTCAAGAGGATTTTTTCCACACACAAAATCCCAGGAAATTTCAAACCAAACAGACCCTGAAACAGAGACTAGTTCATCCTAATACCAAACCCCCAGACCTAATCTGAGCAGAGTGGTGTCTGCAGGTCAATGCAGCGAGGAATGCTCTGATCTTTATATTGGAGTAACCAAACAACCTCTCCACAGACGCATGGCTCAACACAGAAGAGCGCCCTCCTCTGGACAAGACTCTGCAGTACACCTACACCTGATGGACCAGAATGTTCCCATTGTGGACAAAGAAGACAGGTGTTTTGAGAGGGGCGTGAAGGAAGCCATCTATTTTAAGAAAGAAAAACCAACCTTAAACAGGGGGGGGGGGGGGGGGGGGGGACTCAGATTTCACCTTTCAAAAAGCTAAAATACAGCGATAGAGTTGATTCCTTCCCACTATTATCGCAACCCCAACCCCTTTACAGGAGAGCACAGGATCTCGCCTCTTCAGCCAGGCCAACAATTCCCTTTAACGACCCCCCTTTCAGAGACATAGACAGGTATGGGGCATTGCAGGCTAACAAAGAAGCCAAACGACCCCCATTCCAAAGGGGCATGCCCGTTCGTTCGGTTTAAGTTGCATGTTTTCTAAACAAAAACTAATTGAAAAAGCTTCCTGGATGAAAAGAGAAACGTCTTCATACTTGGAAACAAATTAGATTGTTTTTAATTTTCTTTTTTTGGGATTAAAAAAAATACATTTACAAATTCCAGTATTTAATAATGAATTGATACATATAATTTACAATTTGCAATTAATTAAATTAAAATATACACTACTGTTCAAAAGTTTGGGGTCACCCAAACAATTTTGTGTTTTTTTCTGAAAAGTCACACTTATTCACCACCATACGTTGTGAAATGAATAGAAAATAGTCAATACATTGACATGGTTAGAAGTAATGATTTGTATTTGAATTAAGATTTTTTGTTTTTACATCAAACCTTGCTTTCGTCAAAGAATCCTCCATTTGCAGCAATTCCAGCATTGCAGACCTTTGGCATTCTAGCTGTTAATTTGTTGAGGTAATCTGGAGAAATTGCCCCCCACGCTTCCAGAAGCAGCTCCCACCAGTTGGATTGGTTGGATGGGCACTTCTAGCGTCCCATACGGTCAAGCTGCTCCCACAGCAGCTCAATGGGGTTCAGATCTGGTGACTGCGCTGGCCACTCCATTACCCATAGAATACCAGCTGTCTGCTTCTGCTCTAAATAGTTCTGCACAATTTGGAGGTGTGTTTAGGGTCATTGTCCTGCTGTAGGATGAAATTGGCTCCAATCAAGCGCTGTCCACTGGGTATGGCATGGCGTTGCAAAATGGAGTAATAGCCTTCCTTATTCAGAATCCCTTTTACCCTGTACAAATCTCCCACCTTACATGCACCAAAGCAACCCCAGACCATCACATGACCTCCACCGTGCTTAACAGATGGCGTCAGGCATTCTTCCAGCATCTTTTCATTTGTTCTGCGTCTCACAAACGTTCTTCCTTGTGATCCAAACACCTCAAACTTGGATTCATCCGTCCACAACACTTTTTTCCAGTCTTCCTCTGTCCAACGTCTGTGTTCCTTTGCCCATCTTAATCTCTTTCTTTTATTGGCTAGTCTTTGATATGGCTTTCTTCTTTGCCCCTCTGCCCTGAAGCCCAGAATCCTGCAGCCGCCTCTTCACTGTAGATGTTGACACTGGTGTTTTGCGGGTTCTATTTAATGAAGATGCCAGTTGGGGACCTGTGAGGCGTCTGTTTCTCAAACTAGAGACTCTAATGTACTTATCGTCTTGCTCAGTTGTGCAACGCGGCCTCCCACTTCTTTTTCTACTCTGGCTAGAGCCTGTTTGTGCTGTCCTCTGAAGGGAGTAGTACACGCCGTTGTAGGAAATCTTCAATTTCTTAGCAATTTCTCGCATGGAGTAGCCTTCATTTCTAAGAACAAGAATAGACTGTGGAGTTTCAGATGAAAGTTCTCTTTTTCTGGCCATTTTGAGCTTTTAATTGACCCCACAAATGTGATGCTCCAGAAACTCAATCTGCTCAAAGGAAGGTGAGTTTTGTAGCTTCTGTAACGAGCTAAACTGTTTTCAGATGTGTGAACATGATTGCACAAGGGTTTTCTAAGCATCAATTAGCCTTCTGAGCCAATGAGCAAACACATTGTACCATTAGAACACTGGAGTGATAGTTGCTGGAAATGGGCCTCTATACACCTATGTAGATATTGCACCAAAAACCAGACATTTGCAGCTAGAATAGTCATTTACCACATTAGCAATGTATAGAGTGTATTTCTTTAAAGTTAAGACTAGTTTAAAGTTATCTTCATTGAAAAGTACAGAGCTTTTCCTTCAAAAATAAGGACATTTCAATGTGACCCAAACTTTTGAATGGTCGTGTATACTTAGAAAAATGCTTTTCATCTTGGATTTCAATTTGCATTAGTTAAATTTTAAATTTTACCCCCCCCCCCCCCATCCAGTCTGACTGAGCTTCACCTGTTTTTAGGCAAAAAAATACATCTAAATGTCCATATGTCATGGTTTTGGTTCTTTGAATTTTCATTGGTTTTATTTTTATTTAGTTTTATTCTAGTTATCTTTGATTGTATTTAAGTTCTCTGTGTTTCCTGTTTACCTTCTGTTTCCCTCTTATGTCAGTCTCCTTCTCCTAGCTCCCTTCTAGACTCCTCTCTTCACACCTGCTCCCATTTAGCCTGGTCTTTGTTTCTCTCTCCCATATATGCACATCCTGCTCAGTCACTGTTTGCTGGTTTGTCATCATTTCTTTGCTCCTTTGTTGTGAGTATTCTTGGTTTTGGGTATTTTTTTTATTTTGTGGATTTATTTTTTAGGATTTTTGCTACTGTTACCCTTTTTGTTTTTAAATCTGCAAGAAACCACCTTCAGCTGTAGTGTCTGCATTTCTGTCCTGTCAAACATCCACTACAAATTGACACCATATGTGCAAAATGCTTGGTTATAAAGGAAAATACCTTCAGCTGTAAGAACGACAGAGATTCATCCCGCAATGGACTCAGGAAGGCAACATAAAAAAAGCATAATGCAATTTCTTTTTTATTTCATAATTGTAAGAAAATGTGGGTCTCATATGAAAACCTAAAAAGTACAAAGCTGTTGTAATGAAACAAAATGCAAGGGAAAAAATTCTCCTATGATCTGAAAAGAATCCAGTCCTCCTTCATTCTGTTATGAATCAGGCAGTCAAATATGCTAGAAAACCTTGCAGTGTAGGAAGATGCTCCTTGGATCGGTTAGCTCGCTGGCTGGCATGTCTCTAGATGAAGTCTGTGTGTTGTTAAATATCAGCGTTCAGTCAGCAATGCTGAGGTTGATGTGAACTTTGGGACATTCATTGCTGAAAAAAGAGGTTTGATGCAAATGTTGCATGACTTTAAGTCATCAGAAGCTGCATCTTGAATAAGCGCCATTAAATATGGAATTTGTTGCAGGATACAGCTGGGATTTTACTATGGCTCCAGAGAGAACGGAGCCAAATGAATAAATTAATAAACTACAGAGAAAGACAATCATTAAAAGGTAAGCAGAAGAAAACAAAAGTTCTTGCAGGAAACGAGGCTAAAATTCAGGCCAGTATAGATGATGGAGGAGAGAGTGGGGAAGTTTTTCAACATATGTGGAGCTCAAATGTCTGCAAAAGAAAAACACAATAACAATACTTATCTTAAGGACTCATTACAAATTACACGTGTTACAATTCCTTCTAAGAGGATTGTTTTAGCATCTGCTTCAAAAATATTTAAACAATTTTCTTTTGTCTTGTTTAGGAGACCAGCGGTGTCATGATTTTACTAAAGTTCAGACCCAAATGCAGAAGACCAAACAGGGAGACCAGGGAAAAGGTTCAACAGGTTTATTAGGAAATTGTGGGGAGTCCAGTGTTGCTCTGAACACTGCTCAACCGGAACTTAAAAGTGAGGGGAAGGCACAGCGATTAGTTCAGGCTCAGTGGGAAATCTGATTCGTAAGCTTGGAGAAGAGGATTTGTTTGCTGACTCACGTTTCCAGAGAAGTTGTTGAATCTTTGACTCCAGTCTTTATGCTGTGGTTCCAGTGTTTGTCTGATTCGGTGGAGGGCGGAACAGGGTTTACCCAGAATGCAGTTGTTTGTAGGAGAACGGAGAAACTGACTGCCACTCAGATTTCCTGCGGTACTTGACCAGGTCGTAGTGGGGAATAATCCCTTTCTCTGTGTGAAGCTCAAACGATCTTTTGGGGAAAGTGGA